TTTTGCAAAGGGTTCGAACGGGACACGTTTGGCTCGGTCCAGACGAGTAATCGCTATGCATCCGAGTTTGCGAACTGTTGGCTGTATCCGATTTAAGAGGTCCGTTTTCCCAATCCCAGCGGGACCGCTAATTGTGATCACTTCACAGCGCTCACTGCGGCGAGACTTCCCACTATTCTTCGGTTTATTCAAGGAATGCAGTGATCCCGATTGACTAACAGTATGGTTTGTTGATGGTTGACTCAGAGGACCGATGGAGGGGTGACTATCACGGTCTGTATTATGGGAAGACCGAGAATGCGATGGGCTCTTGACTCTGGTGGAAACTGCTCCTGGGCTGTGGCAATACGCATCGGTGACAATAGTATGCTTCGGAGTGGAAAACGACGTGTCACTACCTGGCGCAGAGTCATGGGTGGTCACTTGTGCGAGGTGATGACTGGTGGCATTAGAAGACGATCGAGGAGGCAAGTTGAAAGAGCCAGAATCGCTAGAGACAGAAGCAAACTCGAGGCTTTCGATACGGCTTTCAGAGATGGACGAAGCCGACGTGAGAGCGTGCATTGTACCAGGACTTTGGGTTCCGGCTTTAGCCAAGGCAATCGCCTGGCGTTTGTTGACCTTTTCGATGATATTCATGATCTTGTCATATTCTTGTTGTCGCCCGAACATCTGTGTTGGGAGAGTGAAAAAGGAAGACACGTCTCCTTGCGCGACTTGGAAGTTGCTCAATGCCTCACTGTCACCATCGCCAAGTAATTTCGCAATATGAGTCAAGTCTCTCTTGACAGATGAGATTGTGTGATAGCGATCATGAACCACCTTTTGGGTCATTTTTTGAATCACAGCCGAGAGAGCATCCGGAACATCCATTCGTTTCCCAGATACAGGCACCAGCCTCTTGCCTAGTACATTTTGTACCACATCAACGGGGTCGGTTCCTTCAAATGGCAACTTTCCCACCAGCATGGACCAGAAAAAGAGGCCGAGCGCATAAATATCAGTGCGACTATCCGGCTCTGTGGGCATCCTTCCAGTCTGCTCTGGCGCAATAAACTGCAGCTTGTACTTTGCTCCGAGCTCGCGCGAAACGGAGGACCAGCCCTCGCTGAGAACGTTGTCAAATGATCTAGCACCGTTGCCGGTATTTGCGAGCTTCACTGCGCCAGTCTCTGCAGAGAAATGGAACGCATCACCTCTGATTTCGCCGTGCACTGTCTTTAGGCCATAATGTAAAATCTCTAGGCAATCGCATGCCCCGATTGCAAAATCGAAAAAGGCTTGCAACGAGACCTGCTCGCTGGGGGTGGCATTGTTGCCTTCGCCTCTGGACCCTGCCGCAAATGAAGCAGGGCCAAACGTGACCAGATCTCGCAACCTGTCATGGCCTGGAGACTCAAAAATTGCAACCAGCAGCGTCTTCGAATGGCCATCATCTGGCTGCAACCTGATCAAGTCGACTGGTCGTATTGTATGATTGCAATCCGGATCTGACGATTGTACAATCGACCTCAGCATGTGAAACTCTCGTTCGAGCCGAATAATGTTGGTGGAGATTCGCGCGATGACCGGTATCCATGTTTGATCTGTTTCTAGGCTATGGTGGTTGGAAAGAGAAATTTCACTGCTGGTTTCGCTGGCGCTCAATCTTCGCAAGGCACGGGCGGATGGCCGGATCTCTGTGCGCGGGGAGAAGCGCGTGAGGCTCGACGGTCCGGAAGAGGCGGGATTTGAGGAGTCTGCAAGAGGAGTTAAAACGTCCGGCTCCAAGGCATGACGGTACCCTGAGATATGCCAGTGATTGTATGTCGAGTGAAACGGTTCGACCGCCTGATCCCAGGTATAGCCTGGCAACTGGCTTAATCGTTCGAAAAGTCGGGCCGGTGGAAGCGGCAAGTCATCGCCGAAAAGAGTACTCTCCTCCATCTCTCAGGTTATTGAGTCGTGTCCGCCCGACTTAGTCCCATGAACATGTCCCGATTCAAATTGAGGTGGGGGATGAGGAGGGGAAAGCGGACATGAAAGATGCAAGCAGCCACAAGACAGATATTAGGCTCAGTAAAATGTACAGTAAATAGGAAGATAATTTTCGCCTTCAGGCGTGCAAAGTGAAGGCATCAAAAACAAAGCCTGAAACAAACCAGGGTGATTCTAGAATTGAAGATCATGAGGATTTTGGCCTGAGGCTGAGGCTTAGTCATCTGGCAGTCGCACCCGGGCATGGAACCCCAGGGCACCGGATTAGGACAGCTGATTGGATTTCCAAGTTGGTCTTATATCGCTAATATCAGTATTTAGCGGGGTATAACATGCTCATGTCACTGGATAATTAGCGTCTGACATCATTATTGAGAAATGGGCTGTGTTTTCTTTTTGCTTTCAAGTATCTGCGGCCCAACTATACATAGGAAGCCAGAAAAAGCCATATTTGACGCTGTTTTTAACATAGGATCCATATCTACTCTAAGAATATCTATAGACCCCCACCTGAAGAACCGTCTCAGTTTACTGTGCATTATTCTGTCTCTCACTCAGCTACCGTAGTCGAACATTACGCTTCCAACCTTGTTAGCAGAAGTTACGGAGGTACAGTGATATGGTAGATGAAGACCGGACTGTGTGCCCATTTACCCTTCGATGACAACCTTGGAAGTATTGTCCACGGTTGTATAAAAATTTTTCTCAGCCAATGCTACGACATCAACTGTTCAAGGCTATTCCACCTGTGTAGGCAGTCTATAATGACCGACCTAAGCTGATGGCTTGACAGTATTGATAAACTAGACGATCTGCACTACATGGCAACCCCTCATGATATATACCAATGATACTAATTAGACCAATCTGAGACATCGAAGCAACTCAGAATTAGGGCTTGTGGGGTAATACTCCACGGCCCGGACCTCGGCACTGACGCCACTCAGGCACTAAATCCTGTTTAGCATCTTCCGAGGTTGAGATTTTAAGGTCTTGTGGTCTTAAGATTTTCTTCTTCTCTTCTCCATTCTCATTATTTGCAGGAGCCAGCGCTCTACGTCGCTCCCTACGTACCATGAGTTCGCTGAGGGAACCTCTCGGCCTCTTAAAGGCGCTGCTGGCCCGCATTCCGCTGATCCTCAAGACCATCCTCCTGCATGGCATTCAAATGTCCCCCGTCAAGGGAAAACAGGACATGCGCACCGAATTAACAGTCGCCATTATTCGCTCCTTCATGGCAACAAAAGCTCCACTCGGCAAAACCCAGAAGCAAGGGATACGCGACCCTGGAGTCAAGGGCCCCATGTGGGTGTCCAAGGTGACCCTCCCGCAGCCCGAGGTCGACGTGCGCGACGCAGTACTACGCGCAATCGAAGATCTTAAGACTGGCGATGAGGCATACGATATCCCCGCAACTGTCGCCGTCGAAGCCGAATGGACCGGCTACCGCGCCGGTGTTGGAAAGAAAACACCAGAGCCCGATATCTCGGAAGAGGAGAAATACTACAAGCTGCGTGAGGAATCGCCATCTGATATGACGATCTTGTATTTCCACGGAGGAGCCTATTTGTGAGTGTGACTCGATCCTCTAACAACAGTGCACATAGCTGACGCATCTATTAAAAAAGCCTTTTGGATCCTTGCAGCCACCGCGTCCCCGTCGCACACCTGTCCCACCTAACCGGTGCCCCCGTTTTCTCCGTGCGATATCGCCTCGCTCCTCAAAACCCATTCCCAGCTGCCCTTGTCGACGCCTTAACAGCATACCTCTCACTCCTCCACCCACCTCCAGGCTCCCTCCACAAAGCCGTGCCAGCCAGCAAAATCGTATTCGCTGGCGATTCCGCCGGCGGGAACCTGTCACTGGTCCTCCTCCAGACACTGTTGACACTCAACCGCGCATCCCGCACAATCCGCTTCCACGGTGAGGATGTGCCCATCGAACTACCCGCAGGCGTCGCTACCATCTCCCCATGGTGCGACGTGACGCGCTCCATGCCGTCTACCAGCAGCAACGCACACCTCGATTACCTCGAGGCACCGACTGGGCCTTCCAACGACCCAGCTGTCAAGACTCCGTTCACCCCGCTCCCTTTCGCGCCAGACGATATCTGGCCCACGTCCCCGCCTCGCGCTGACGTCTACTGCAACGCCAGCATGCTGACCCACCCATTGGTGTCTCCGCTCGCTGCCCCGGCTGATATCTGGAAGAATGCACCGCCTATCTGGATCTCGACTGGCGAGGAAGGCCTCACAGATGAGGGTCTTATTCTAGCGCGCCGCATCTACCAGGCCGGTGTGCCCGTCGTTGCAGAGATGTTCGAGGGTATGCCGCACTGCCACGGTATACTTATGATGGACAGGCCAGCAAGCCATCGTTTCTTTGAGGGCTTTGCTGGGTTCTGTCGTGATGCTGTTGCCGGGCGGGTCGTGTCAACGGGGTACCTCACCTGGTTAGGTTTCAAGCTGCAGTTGACAAAGGAGATCCCGATTGAAAAGGCCTGCGAAATCAGCGATGAGCAGGTTGAGGCTCTCATGCAGAGAATGACTGCTTGGAAGTTGGAGGGAGAGATCGAATTACAGAAGCAATGGCGTGCGACAGCGCGGTTGTGAGTCGTTGTGTATGGTTTTTTCTCCACATTTCGCATCATACCCTATTTGTACATATGTATTTTTAATGATTCTCATGACAAACCGGTTCTGTTATGGATGAGCGATAGCCCTGGGGCCAGTCTCGCTACATTTTTACTTGTTAGGCATTGATATAGTTACATGTATCTAGAAGACTATAAATACTCGATCACTTTCTTAGAAAAACGGTCTCTGCAGCAACGAATTGCTACCCGGATTGTATTAGATACCTAGGTAGTAGCCCAGACCATGCTGAATTAGAACCATGCTAAGGAATGAGTCCAAGTCATATGAGCGAAAGGAACTACCGAGAGCCACCGAAAAGCTATCCATCTGATTCGGAACGAAACGCTGGACAAACGTCGCGGGAATTTGTAGAACAACCCTGAAAACTAAAGATATTCATCGTTGTCCATTGCATCCTCCTCCGACAGCCGGTCATTGTCCCACATCTGCGGGGGCGGGGGCGAGCTGACCAGACAGGCTGCACTGGTTGCACAGGCTGTGTATAGTGGACCTGCGGTGGTTGAGGTACAATGTTTTCAGGCGTGGGGGCTGACAGCCAAGGGAACGCAACTGGCGTTCCGTTGATGCGGATTTCGCCAATGATATTTCCAAGCTCCGGCGCGTCATCCACGTAGCCATCCGAAAGACCCATCAATTGCGCCACAAGCCGAGAGAAGGCAACGCAGATAGCGAAAATGGGCGTGACTATAACCGAAAGGTGTGACCAGCGCCACAACATTGTGACAGTTACCCAGGGGTATACAGGCGCATCGGGCTGCAGGCAGTAGCCTTCGCAGCTTTCGGATATTTCAGGATGGCTATACTGGTCCCACATCAGACATTCGATGATATACCACGAGAGTGAGATGATGATGAACCAGCCGAGCTTGGTGGGCCGAAGGCGCTGGGATCGCGGGCTCCGCTTCCACAGCCGAGGAAGAGGTATCGCGGCGTAGACTCGTCCATCAGATTGTGTGCCACAGCCTTTGCAGGATTCGCCTGTGTGCAAGTGTGATGACAGCGGGTTCTTCTTGGTTGAAGAATTTGCTTGCGATACTATTGCGGTGTCCCGTGTAACGTGATCTTCCAGCCCGTCAAGCCCTTTCTTGACTTCGTCGATATGTCTCATTAGAGAGTTGAGCTTGACATTCAATGAATCTAAGTCAACCACATCATGTCCTTTTGAATCGGCATTTTCGAGCTGGGCGAGGACGGCCTTTTTGTAAGCTTCGTCATCTTCCTCAGCCTTGGTTTCACCTGCGCCGGCGTCCATAAATGCTTGAAGTGACTCGATGGTGTCATCTCCGAACTCGACGTCTTTGCCGGAGCTTGCATCCTCAATGACTGTCTCTAAGGCACTTTTAGGTAGAATGGGCCGCATCAACAGGGGTCTTGACTCCTTCCCAGGAAGTGGTCCAGGAAGGGGCTCTTTCTCGGCAGCCTGCGCGGGCTTCGGTTCTTCCGTTTTCGATTTGACATCCGTTGGTTTCGTAGGGGGTGCAATATCCTTTGGTTCATTCATTATGCGCGGAGGGACGATGTCTTTCGTCAGATCATCGGGTAGCTCGACCTTGTCAGCAACCCGCTGGGTCATAGGAGTATCGATCCACGCGCCAGTTACCCGAGGTGTTTTATCATAAATTTTGCTTTCAAACAGTTTGACTGGCTCGGGGGTTTGGGCTTGATCAATTTTGGGACTTTCGGTCCTGGAAAGTTTGCGTAGTAGATCCCTAGAGTCTCGCTTGCTTGGGCTGGGCCTCGCAAACGACGAGTTTTTGAACACTGTGATAGGGGAATTGGGAATCGGCTCGCCGCCACTAGTGGGTGAAATCAGCTTTGGGCCAGACTGTGCTTCCCCGAAGTCCTCTTGCGTTGACTGCATATGCGGATTGGCAGAGCGTTCTTCAAGAGCGCTTCTAGCAGAAAGTGTGCTCCGCGCTGGAGAACCAGGAGAGGCACGTGTAGGCTTGTGTTCCCGGGTTTCTGTAATAGTTGGCGACCAGCGCCGACGCGCTTTCTCCTCTTCTTCTGCCGAGACACTGCGCTGGGTGGGTTTTCTCTCCCATTCTTGTCGGTGACCAGCGCGGAAACCCCAACCAGTGGGTATATTCGGCGAAGGAAGGCCGGTCCTGTCAGTCTCTGGCACAGGGTGTTCCTCCACAACCTTATCTTCCATCCGTCTTCTTAGATTATCCGCCGTCAAGGCATCCCGTCCGACCTGAGCCCTGCTGAACACCGGCGAGCGTTGGCCCGTGACACGCTTTAATCGCTCTTCGTCCTTGGTATAGTCCCTGCTCTTGCGGGCTCGATGATCGCCGAGTTCATCGCCAAAACCAGCGTCGGAAAAGGGTCGTCCATTGGCAGATTCTCTGCCGTTGTTTGTGTCCTTTGCTCGGGAGGATGAGTGCCGACTTCGGCTTCCGGAGCGTGCGCTGTACTGCGGTTCCCAGTCATAATCGCGCACGAGATCGGCTAAAGCGTCATCTTCATCGATACGCCTATATGCGTCTTCGAGTTCTTTGGGAGGAGGAGAAGTCTGGGATATTGGCGACAACGCGTTAATCGGCTGCCGCTTCGACCGCGGGCTTGGGCTTGTCACGTAGTTGTATTCTTCGTCATATGTGGCGGACATTGCGTGTTTTGATGCGTCTCGATACGCATCGGCTAGAGATCTTGGGCGAATAGCGTGTCGTGGATGCGGACCATCTTCTTGAGGGGGTGATGGGAGCTTCGTAGGTATATTGTAATGATCGAATTTCGGGGCGCGTCGGAAAGATGACCGCTGTCTGTCTCGCGAACCTCGATTGTTTTTATCGAATGACATGACCGAAATACCCCTTGCAGCCTGCAGAGGGTTTACATGTAGGAAAGTTAGGGGAAAAGGGGAAAGACGCTAAGACGCGGTTCTCCTGCGCTGAAGAAATGACGGAGGTAAATACTACGCTCTCATTCCCCAATCTGGTTAGCCCGTCTGAATTCCTCCCGCATTACGTCGACTCCTTCAACCACCAACAACTGGTCTTCTCAACTTGTCTTTTACTCATATCTGTTCTTGAGACTTTGTCAGGAGAGAATTCACAACCTCGTGATGCTCAAATGACCCTCATCTTGCCTTGACATGTGACACGTTCACTCGCCCTATCCTCCAAAGCTTCGATAAATGCAACAAGACTCGCGTTCCAAACACTTGAACAAGCTTTAACTCAGATAATATCCAGCGATTTGAGGGAATACATATATATCAACCCCTACCATGGCGAAATCATCACGGCGCTCAGGTCGTGGCAAGACGCCAACGTCCTCCGGAGCCTCAACACCAAGCTCCGCATCCTCAGGCCCGATCCCTCCATTCACGAAAGTCCCAGAAGCCTTGAAGTCATTCGTCGAACCACTCTCTCCCGACGAAGTATACCTAGTCCACATCGACATCACAGCAGAGGAACTGAAGCGGCAGACCTTCACCGTACCCCTCATCCTCAACCTGGTAGTAGCTGCTGTGATTGGCCTACGGGTGTACATGGGAATCAGCACATATCCAGCCCTCTTGGGAACGCTGATCGGGCTTCAAAGTTCCATGACCGTGGACACGGCAGCTACCCCGTGGACAGAAGCGGTCCAAATCATCCTGCGGCGGACTGGAACTATATGCATCGACTACTTCCTCGTGACCCTGTTGTGGTCGTGGCCTGTTAATTTCGTCAGAGGGCCCGTGCGCTGGCGACGCGCCGTCGGTTTCCGTGAGCGGGAGGTCATAGTTCGCCGCAGTAACCGCAGCTGGAGCAAGGAGCTCGAGCGTAACAGGTGGATCCGCGAAGATGAGGCGCGTCGCGATAAGATCGTCGCCGCTGTGACTCCCGAGCGAATCGGAAAGACTGGTTACTTGCTCGTGGACGAAGACTGGAATTTAGACTATGAGGCTATGATCCGCGCTCATGCTCTGGTTGATCGCACTCGGAGAGGCGATGGTGTGCAGATAGATGAATTCCGCACTGCCGTGCTGGTTAACACCGATGCTGATGGTTGGCTGATCTGGCGTGTTGGGGATGAGAATACCCCCAGTGGCCAAAAGCGATCCGTCCAGCGCGATCAGATCCTTGCCTTCAAGGAGAAGTTGGCTGAAATGGGTGAGGATCTCTTCCTCCGTTGGGTCGAGCTGATCCAATGGGAGAGCTCGCAGCCTGGTGGCTTCACCGCGGAACGGCAACGGTCTGCAATGTTACAAGCGAAGCAGATGTTCGAAGATGAGAATGTGGATTTCAGTCAATTCTGGGACGACATGGGCGGCATGGAAGGATTAGACTAGTGATTTATCTTTTCTTGATCATACTAATCACATTTCCTTTACAAGTTCACCTTAATTTCAGCTTACTCCCTATGTAAATTGCTCTCTGTACATGATTGTTCTTGAAGTATGGTTCATAAAGCTTGACCAGGCACCTCGTACCCTACGCCACTTCAAGTAGATGGATATATATTCAAGTGTAGATTGCATTGTTGGGTATCTGGACTAAATCAATGTCAAAAGCAAATGGGACGTGTATGGATCCACTAAGGGAACAAGCCAAAAAATAACAAAAATGGAATAATGCAACGCACTAATACGCCGGAGCTTGTTAGAAAAAAGACGAAGAGAAGAAAACAGTCTATGATGCGCCACCCTCGAGTCGATAATCAAGAGACCACAACTTCTCCCACGGGCGAGATCGGCCATTGTGTCGACGATCAGAAGTCAATCGAGAGGGAGAAGAAGCGGTGCCACTTATGTTTGGTTGAGCCGGTGCAGAAAGAGAATCCTAAGCCAAAGAAAACCGTTAGCACCTGATACTAGATCATACGAAAACAGACCCGGAAAAGACGGAAGATAAATAAGTCAATCCCTACTTTTCACGGGCCAGAGAGCAGGTCACGGCGAACCTCGTCGAAGATCGGAGCAGCCTCTCGGGGCTGCGAGCCGGTATCAGCTTCGGCGGGGCGTACAAGATCAACCGTGGATTCGACGGCGTGCTGCGACGGCGTGGGAGTGCCCCGCTTAGAAGTCGAGCTCTCACGGCGGCTATCAAGGCTCCTGGATAGGGTTTTGGCAATGGCGCCCTCGTCCGTACCACGTTTGAGGCGGATGCTACCCTTGGCATCAACGTGCGCCGATGCAACTGTGCTCTTCGCTATGCCCGGTGTGGCAGGCGCACCGGGCTTCTCTTCTACGGCCTCGAGGAGATACCAACGGAGGCCGTCTGAAAGCTCGAATGGATTCTCGTCGTCTAGAGAGGCGCCGTCGCTGGCGTCTCCGAGGGACCGACGGTCTGGCGCGACACCGTTCATTGACTTGGACAGATCTACAACCCGTTCCTCAATCTTGGTGATGCGGGCGAGAAGCCAGTCTCGAGCTTGTAGTTTGTGCGAATCTTGCTCGCGGAGGAAATAGTGCGGCGCACCCACGTTGAAGGCTGCCCAGGAGCGAATTGCCTGATTCCGAGTTGGAAGGAAGAGAGCAAGGTCGCCTTCTTTGAACGATCTGTAGGCAATCTTGTCATGAGCCTCACTCTGAACTCGATGGTACTTTTCACGATAGCCTCGAGCTTCCTTTTGCCATTTTCGCGCTAGGACTTCGATGTCCTTGACGCGTTTGACAACAACATCACCAAATATAGCCACGTCGAACTGAGCTAGACTTTCCATGAAAGCCGAAAATTTGGTCTCTTCATCCTCCATGCTTTCGGCTTGCATCCAGTCCAGAAGCGCTCTGTCCGGTTTCAGGGATACAATACCTGACTGGGCAAGGCTTTCACCCAGCCCCGACGATGCACTGAGCTTCGAAGCACGCTGGACAAGGAGCTGACCGTCTTGCTGAATGATGGTGAAACCCAATTGCTCGAGCATCCGACCCAGCTTTTCAACCTGCGCAAAGAGTCGATTTGAAAGCTCGAGGGACTTTGTACCCCGAGCTTCCAGCCGCGCCACAGCCTGCTCCTCGGTCTCCGAAGTGGCCCCTGCCTTTCTCTCCCATTCCGCAGCCTGGTCTTTCAAATTTCGAGCTTCGCTTTCAGCTTCAGCCAGTTTCCGTGACAGATCCGCCTGTTTCCGTTCCTCTTCGGCGATCTGTTCACGCAGTGCTTCGGAGCCACTCTCTCCGGCAGTCATTTGAGAGTGCAAGGAACTGAACTTAGATCGCTCTTTGTCCAGTTCACTGGTCAACTCCTCCACCTTTGATAGCGCGCTTGAGAGCTCCTCAGTTAGTTGCGACAATTCGGCCTTGCACTCGTCGAAGCTCTTTGTCCGCTCTTCTGCCTCCGACTCAAATTTCGAAATTTGTTCTTCAAGGGTCTTGTTTTCAGCCATTGCCTGGGCTGCGCTAGATTCCGTGCTCTTGGCGTGGATCGTCAGGCCCTCAGAGAGAACCTCAATGGCTTTGATGATGTCGGGAAGTTCAGCAGGCACAATGCCCCCGGGCGAGAGGTTCATGAAAATAGCTTGGAGGGCTTGATAACTTTCCTGATGCTTTTGCTCGAACTCCGCTTGTCGGTGCTCAAAATCATCAACCTTAGCTTGTAGAGTTTCTTCTCGCTCTTGCCGAGTTTGAATCTGTGCATTAAGATCAATGATTTTCTGTGCATCGTCGGCGGAGTTGGCGTGGGCATTTTTAAGGTCGACTTCGAGCTGGTGCATCCGATCATCAATCTCTTGTCTTCCATGCTCTCTGCTATCCATAAGTCGATCTAGTTCTTCTTCCATTTCCTCCGTACGAAGTCTGAACTTCTTTAACTCCGAGTCCAGATATCGGCGCTCATCTTCGAATTCGCGTTGGCGCGCTTCAAGGTTGCCTATGAGGTCCTTTTTGGTGGATTGGGCTTCTTGGAACTTGTCAGAGTTTGTTTGCCGCTCGGCGTGAGCTTCCTTGTGGAGTCGCTGGACCGCATCTCTCTCGGCCGCCAACTCTGCTTCGAGCGAAACGATGCGCTGGATGAGTGCTTTGTCTTCGGCAGACTGAGTCGCTGAGACCCGCCTTGAAGAGACGGATGACCGTCTAGATAGTGCGTCAGGGTGTGGAGACGCAGGTGAACCTGGGAAGTCTGGGCCGAAGTTGCCGCTCGGTGGCCGGCTGAGCTGGCTTTGACGATGCAAAAGGTCTTCCAACTTCCGGACACGACTGTCAGACCCCTTGAGCCTTTCTTCCAGCTTTGTCTTTTCTTCTTGTAAGCTACGGACGGAGTCATCAGCACGTAATATAGAGCTCCGGCTCATGTCAAATACACTGCCTTGTTTGAATGCTTTGGCCCGTCGTCTTTGCTGTCGAGTGGGTGCGTCCAGCTCCTTGAGTTGCTGGGTGAGCTCTTCCGCTATGTTGGTCAAGGAATGAGTGGTCTTTAAATCGTCGATGTAATACTCAATCTCTTTCCGAGCTACTTCAGGCCATTCCTCATCCTGACCTTGAAGGTTGACTTCGATTCCCGGCGTAGTGGAGTCAGTCACAGTCACGAAGTCTCCCATGTTTTTAAGCCATTTCTTTCTGCGGCGTTGCTCCTCATCTCTCAAAACTGCCATCTCCTCGGCCAGCGTCAGGGAATCAGTCTTGATCTTATCACTCCATTCTCGCCGCCGCACTGATTCGATAAGAATCGACCCGTATACCATTGGCATCTGAAAGACAGAGTAGATAATCTCAAAGGCATTACTTCCCACGTCCAGATTGACCATTCGTGCATGGGCGTCAGCAAGTCTAGACTCAAGGGAGGAAATCGTGCGCATATGCTCAATGGCCGCTTTCTCTGCGGCCCCCCGGCGCTGCACAGCGTGCTCCAGCGCAGCTTGGATCTCAGTGCTGATCTCCGCCAGCGATGGAAGAAGGTCCTGGGTATGGCTCAATGCGAGTCTTGATATATTGGCCAAGGTTTTCTGGTTGTTCGGCAAGCCGAGGACATGCTCATAGTCAGATCCGATCTTCTTCGCGATAGTCTCCACTTCTTCCAGCAGCCCACCCACCCCATCGGAATTTGAGGCAAGGGTCTCGTCCACCAGACGTTGAGTGTCCGAGGCGATGTCACCGATTGTCTTCTCAATGTCATGGACATTACCAGCAAAGGCCGATGATGCAGTCGCTGCCTCTGATCCAGCCCGATGAACCTCCCCTACGTCGACAAAGTCACGCAGCGTTCCGGTTGGTCGATCCTTGTCCATTTTGGGCGTGGACGGACGTCCAAGAAGAGGGAAATCTTTACGTGCCGGAATATTGTCCAGTGTGGAAAGCGCTCGTTGCCAGCCATCTAAAGCAGCCCGCTGCTCTTCTAAAAGGCTATTCGCCCATGACTGTGCCTCTTGGAACCGATGCTCTAGGTTACCCACGTGAGACTTGAGGTTCTCCAGAGCCACGCCCACCGCGCGATTTATCACATCGGTGCGCTCGTTATGTTCTCGGAGGTTCTTATCAATCGACCCACAGCGACTGGACAAGTCCAGTGCCCAGTTGCGCCGTGTCATATAAAGGTTCCGCCATGCTTGCAGGTCATTCAGGTCTTTGAGGGTCGCTGGGGGGCTACCGGGTCGGAATGGTTCAGGAGGAGGTAGTTCCGGAAATTGGACGTCGCCTGGTTCACTGACGTATTGTCGGTCATATACAAAGATCTCGTTCTGCGATGGTTGCTTACGAGTTAGCTTGTTTCCAGGTCATGGGTTGATATGATAATGCCCCACCTCTGTAGCGAGCGTTTGGACTTTGACATTCTTTCCCCGGGCGGTCATCAATATTTGCCGCGCAGGTGGAATAGATGTATTGCGAACGATCCATGACTTCAAAGCATCGGGACTATAGAGATTGGACGGGCGTCAGCTAGAGTTTGGATAGGTCCATTCAAATATAGATAAACAGATGGTAGAAATCATCGAATAGAGATAGTGGAAACCTACGAGGCAAATGCCACTGGATCAGCCAGGAAATGCTCCCCAGTGTGAGCAATGTAGATGTGCAACGACATTACCCCCCTCGGCACCAGGCGAGCTTAGATGCTCAGTAAGAGAGAAAAGTGAGAAATATTGCTCAAAGAAGGAGATACATGTAAGGGAAAAAAGAAATGAATCACAGTCTTGAAGCCCCCGATCAGGCTGGTCAAGACGTTGAAAGGTTGCTCCGCAACCTCGTGTGGCCGGGGAAGCTCGCCCACCGCCTCCGGTCTCATCTTCATATCACCAGATACGCCCGCGTTCATGGGATCTACATATGTACATCCATGGCTGCAAAACATGGCCAGTCGCTGCCTCACCTGCAATCTGGTGAGGTGACTCTACTAGATTATTCTGCAGACGACCCTCGCGATGTCTTGACTCTATCGGATAAAGAGGCCTTGGTGCTGCAGCTCTACAACCAAGTACAGGAACAACAATTAGAAAAGGCATTTCTCGAACAAGGTGAGTCTGATAAAAGCTTCGCTATGCCTTTTTTTTTCCCTCTTTGCTTTTTTGTCTGTCCCCTTTTCCTAATCGCTTTCATCCTATTAGAACTAGAATCATTTTCGGGCTCAGATCCCGAAGAACAGCTCGCAATCGCGGAACGTGAGCTCCTGGAGGCACGATCCACTTATACAGTCAGGAGGAAGGCTATTCGCACCATCCTCATGACTGACCCTATTCTCAAAGCCGTTCATCTGAAGGCTGCCACCCCTGCTGAGAGGTACGTACCCACGAAAACCCCATGAGTTAGACCCAAGTCTAATGAAGGTATACATAGAGCCCTTCTTTGTCTGGTAAATCGTCGCGATGTCCTTGCACTTGCACATGAGAATCTTGCATCGGCACATGACTTGGTTCTGAGGCAACTCTCAAATCTGGAAGTAAAGAATCTACAGATCAATCGCGAAAACCAGGAACTGGTGCGCCAGTTATTAGAGCTCACAAAAGAAGATTCATCATGGAGAGAGAAGCTTGAAGACCCTGAGCTGCTATCCCAACTGGACAGTCTTGAAACAGATTTAAAGGCGCGCAAAGCTCAGTGGGAGACTATGAAGTCCATTGCAAGTGCAGTGGTTGTTGCCAGTGGATTAAATTGGGCCGATGACGACATGTTGCGCGCGTTGGTGCTGGATGAAAGTGACTGATGTTTTTCTTTTGACGCGTTTCCGATCTTTTTCCCCCCCTCAAATTCCCCTAACTGTACATGTATGGAGTACTTAGGAGCACAGGCGCTATACGAAAATACCCCAAGTCTCCGGAACATTCGAATTCTATTCTTAAGAGGAAAAAAAAATAAAAAGGGATTGATAATTTTAGACGGAATAATGTGGATAGGACAATATTACAACAGGACAAGAGTCCATAACAGCAATAATGACGGCTATACACAGCGGTGTACAGTATGTACTTTAGTCGCATCTTAGAAGTAAGGGCTTTATTGTCGGATAAACGCATAACTAGCACAGTCTAATCAGGTACAGATGATTTACCAAACATTTGAATGATTTGAAGTTCATAATACAGACGCGAACTCTATGACGCTTTCCTGTCGGAAGGCGTGGAACTGTACGGAGTACGGACATTACAGGTGGATTAGCCCTTACACTGCCCCAGTACTGTACTGCAGTACCAACGGTATGTGTACGGAGTAAACAAAAGGGACTTCTCTGCTGCACAGAATGTTCATCGGTGGTCTATGCGCTTTTATGAAGACAATCTCTGTGGAGTACCGACTTTTGCTTTTGATCTGTCAATCTTTCAATATGTAGCAAGATGCCATCCAACTCGTCTGCACCATCCATGGATGGTATCTGCAGATAAATAAGCAAGAGGGGTAGGAGCTACCTAGGGAGATAGAATATCCATAGTCATAACAAAAAAAGACATCTATTCTGAATTTAGCTTGTGATAATGGTGTGATCCGGCTCTGTAAGGAAGGAGTCTAACCTTCTAACTATTCTACCTAGGTAAGCCGTTTCACTTTGTAACCTATCAGTCGTGGATAATCCTCGGGCTAAGAAAACAGCGATAACCCTATGCCATATTCGTTCATGCTTATGAGTGCTCTGGAGCACCCGTGGACGTATCCCCCTTTATCAACAGGGTAATCAATGTCAATACTTCCCTAAGTTCCTAGGTACCTGCCCAGCCGTGTTTCCAATTGGGGTTACGCTAAAAGGGTACGCCACGCTTATGATTTGAGCAACCATGCGCCCTTGCCTGAAGATGATAGTTGAAGTCTGTACTCACACTGTTATGTACGCACCTCTAGTCACGCTTTGCATGATAATTAGGGTTTGCACTATTACACAGAATTCCTAACCTAATGATAATCACACTGGTTTTGACACCGAGAGCTTATGTAGACCTTGTTTTCTAAATTCCTATTTTACCAGCTAGAGGGATAATGACACCAATGATAGTGGACTGGGACCTTTTTTTTCCCCCCTAGGACCGCGAAGGTACCCCATACAAGTCAATATGTACATGTGCCTACGCATGACCTGGCGACTCGCGACCAAAGTCATTATACGGAGTACGCTATACCAGATGGAAGTAAGTCCTTAATGCTGAGTGTCTGTTCACAAGGAACCCCGAAACTGAATACGTTATGAAATGTTTGATTTGTTATTTCTAGCTCCTCCTCTTAAACGGGGGTTTCTAGAATCTCTGACATACATCGTAGCCTGCTTACAACAACTACAAAAACAACGTGAGCTAAATGAGCATCGTTGCCTGTCATATTATTCAATAGAAAAAATGTTGCAATATAACTGATAACAATATTGAAATTCAATGGCAAACACCTCGTAATGACAGGTATGAGGTACTTGCGGAGCAAATGCTTTTATTATGGTGGTACCGCGTATCGTATACCTGTACGTTTGCGCGGTTTATTAATATGACGGAGCGCAATCCACAAGTCCCAAGTGCCGGAATGATCTCGTTTCATAACGCCGTATCGAATTCCCTCTCATACAACATCCCACAAAGACCTGCCTTGGAGAAAAAAAAAATCAAAAAGTAAGTGCATGAATATATTAGCAAACGATAGTCATGGAATCATTGGTAATTTAAGGAAATAATACGTAAATTTCGAGGAATCAGTGATAAATAATATGGTGGACACTGTAAATTACAAGTAATAACCATACAATTTCTCTCAGCCAGTCAGCGAAACCAGCGAAACCGTGCTTGCCTTTCCCTTACTGTGGCCCCCCTCTCTTTGCTACTACTACGGCCCTCCCCCCCTCTACTCTTCTCTTCTCTTACTATCTTCCTACACTACCAGCTCCCCCATACAAACTCGCTCCCATACAAAAAAAGGTACTGCATATCAACGAGTATATACACTTTGGCGCATTTCCACCACCACCACCACATTCCTCTTTTTTCTCCAGTTCTTTTCGTCCTTGGATTCATTTATTTTCACCTCATTCCATGTCTTCTTTTTTTCCAATTTGCGCCGACCTTGCGGTCGCGCGCATCTCAATCTATGTTTTTGTCCACTCAACTAACATGGAAACATATAGTTCCTTTTCTTCAACATATTCAAATTCGTGATCTTCGAATTCATGTGAGTTGATCTTATCCCTATCATCTTGAAGCTCTGTTTCCCTCGGTCGCAAGTGATTTAGTTGCGCGCAACGCGTCTACCTAGGTAGCAAACACACGCGTCTGCCCTTCTCCCCTCTCACCTACACTCCGATTTCTTTATATTACATGTCAATTGCGTCTACAACCCTTCACTTGACCCAATTGCCCAATTCATTTCTCCTGCAATACACCCGTTGTGGCAAAACCCCTTGGGAATCACATCTAACCTTCATCAGTCATCATGCCTAAGGAAAGCACCACCAAGTCTACCCGCAAGGCTCCCGAGAAGCGCGTCCAGCGCCGCAAGAAGGGTAAGTCAATAAGAAAGTAAGCTGCTTGTCCTCAGCTTGTACTAATTTACTTTAGACCCCAACGCGCCTAAGCGCGGTCTGTCCGCCTACATGTTCTTCGCCAACGACAACCGCGACAAGGTTCGCGAGGAGAACCCCGGCATCAGCTTCGGTCAGTGAATTGATTCTCCAGCTTCATGGTGCATATCTAACATCCCTACAGGCCAGGTTGGCAAGCAGCTTGGTGACAAGTGGAAGGCTCTGAGCGAGACTGACCGCAAGCCCTACGATGACAAAGCTGCCGCTGACAAGAAGCGCTACGAAGAGGAGAAGGCCGCCTACCTCGCCAAGGCCGAGGAAGAGGAAGAGGAAGAATCCTCTTAAGTGCCCTCTTAATCTCACTTCGTCTTTTGCCTCTGGGCGTTTGTGTTTCTCTAATGGTTCTCTGATTTTTTTTCGGACGGTTTCATGCACGGTTTCTGGGTTTGGAGGACGGCTGGGGTTTACTTGCTTCTGAACTGTTCCTCTTTGCTCTTATCGAGGGTATTAAGTTATCAATGGGAAATCTCAACCTTTTAAATTAGTGCCAAGACTTCTTCCAAGTAGCTTGAAATCATAATAAGAACAGCAAGAAAAGCGTTGGCAATGTCCCTTGGTAGTGGGGATGATTCGAAGCAAGCTTCAGCCTGTTGTGCAAGGCGGTGTTGCGCGCCCTCTTCAGATTGATCTCACTCTAGCTCCGATTTTGACTGAGAGCCTCGGGGAAGCTTCGGGAGCTCTCCAGGGCTGAGCTTTTTTGCCCCGCAAAACAGGGGACTTACCGCCTGCGTCATTCACCGCCCCAGTAATCCGGGGTCGAAGCTCGAAGCTTAACCTTGAGTTTGTTTCAAAATGTTGTGAGGACCCGGGGATCTTCTAACAGTCCATCCGATGACAGTGAGCTTTTCATCAGAGGGTCTAAACTCGGTTCAATGCGGAAATCAATGAAAGTCAGCCTGAGCCATCACAGGACGTTGTCCACTGCAATGAACTGGAAGCCTGCAGCTATCTGGAGCTTGATCGTGAAACCCCGACCCTGAACCCTCGAGCCCTCGCACTAAAGGTGCAAACGTTTGACATTGGTGAGCGCATTTGGATGAATAGCATGGGTTTCTTAGGGCTAGCGAACGCGCGCGCCATGCTTATGCGATATGCGCGGAGTCCGACGATACGATATACGACATGACACGGTGCGGCGATACGGCGGGATACAATCACACGTTATGGACACGATGATACCAGCGCTATAATAACACAGGACGTTTACAGTTAGGGCTCACGATGCGATGAGAAGACAGTAGGGCGACAATACGATGATACGATGATACGGTTCACCACGACACCGGGCTTATACAGTGATTCAGCATATGAGCGCAAGACACCTAAAGGACGTTTATAAGTTAGGGTTCACGGGGAGATGAGAAAACAGCGGGGCGACAATACGATGATACGATAATACGGTCTCACCACGACACTGGGTTCACAGAGTGATAGAGCATATCAGTGCAAGATACACATATGGCGCGTTTACAATTAGGGATCACGATACGGTGACAAGACAGCAGGGCGACAATACGTGATAGCGACAATACGATGATACGGTCTCACCACGACACTGGGCTCACAGAGTGCTTCAGCATATCAGCGCAAGACACACAGGACGTTTACAATTAGGGCTCACGATGCGATGAGAAGACAGCAGCGATGGCGACAATACGATGGCACGGTCTCACCACGACACTAGGCTCGCGGGGATGATTCAACAATACTAGCGTCAGACACTGAGTTGATTATACGGGGCCTTGAATCGGGAAGGCACCGGCGAACAGGCAAGCTTTAACGATGTGTTTGCAGAAGAGCATCGTACGTTTGGACCTGATGGGTTTTATGCATGTTGACGATTGTCTAAGCAAGAGCTAGATAGTTGTCTTCAAACCCGGTGTTCTGCGGCACATTGACGCCCTCTCGCGGATATGTCCACACAGTTCCAATCAGCACCATATGCTAAATCTGAGGCTCCTCGATGCGTTGATAGCTTTTGATGGGCTCCTGAGCGGAAGCTCCACCATCGCAGTGGTCCAAGCCATGTTGATATTGTATTGGTGTGTATCTATTCACTCTTGAACGGGGCTTTGCTGGACTTGTCGACGCATATGCGCGAGCATTGTGCATTTAGGACAATCCCGATCTTGTTGTTCTGGTCCTTGGTTCATCGTTTGTTAGGGCATATGCGTCAGCATAACAAGCGTGCGATACGTGTTTACTCAACGAGCGGCACACCTAAATACATTTGATTTGTTTGATTTTATACTCTACCAGACTGGTCTTCTGTAAACGCTTTCTATTCACCCAGTACTACTACTGGTAGTTCTGCAGTTATAGTGAGTAAATCGGATATGAAAATTCCGTTAGATGGGACTGATGATCCCGGTGCAGTTGGAAAACTACAATATCCATAGACCAGTGTAAGTCATATGCAACTATCCGTGGACTTATTCCGATATTATAGGATTATGCAGCCAGCCTATGTGGATCTTCCTTCGAGGGTCAACTTCGCTCAGTATGGTTTCCGGAGTGACAGACTTGGCCCCAAATAGCTCTAATAAGCCAATTTACGCGAGTCATGTTGAGATTGATGTTCTAGCCCGTTCTAAATTCAAGCTTTGCATATCTATACATCGCGCACGTACTAATTGTTCCGCATTTTCTATACTTGAGATGCATGGTGTGTTGTTACACGAATGCAATGCAACCCGGGTAGAGGAGATTTGTGGCGACTGTATATCTTATAGTTGCCAGCTGGCTCAGATTTTAAGTATCCTGGATGTAATAGTTAGAATTCAATAACAGAGAAAATTAACGCCAAGACAGTACATTCTATTAGAGTGTGGACTGAGGTGGCTGTTTCAAAATATCTGCTACAGCAACACTATAGACTTTGGGTTGTCGAGTATAAAAGTCCAGAAAGGAGTACATTCAGTCGGAGACCTCACACTCGAGGCGAATCAATCAACCTATAATATTCGCTTCTCAGTACTCGTGGATACTCCACTTTATAACCTATTCCATCTGAATGGTTTCCTCCTCGACTCATGCAATATATGTTGTACACAGTTTGCACGTGGAAGCGTTCAAATCAAGCAACCAAGATCTATCTACTCTCTGTACTTGTACCTAAACGCTTTAACCTATGATTGGTCTGACTGAAGGGGGCTATAAGACAGAGCAGTTCTCCACATTTAGGGCGGAAATACTTGGTGAACCATGGAAATCCGAGTCAACCGAAGCTTATACTGCTTATACTAGGTAGCTTATCCTATGTTAATATAAGCTTATATCTGGTATACACCTTCTCTATATCAACAAGTCAACAAGCGGTCTATTGTGAACGGGAGATGACGAAGAGAGGACCCCACCACCTGGGCAAGCCCCGCCATTCGCGCGTGAACACGTCAGGTCTTGGACGCAAGGGAGAACCCTGTCGGGAGAGCCTCATGGGCCCTTTTTTTTTTTCTTTTTCCTTTTTTTTCCCCTCTTTATCTCAAGGGCTTTTTCGTCTTTGTTAAATAATCTTAATTGTCCGCATGTGAGCCTATTGGCCTATTTAGTTCCTAATTTTTTTTTTCCTAGCCCCTCTCCCATAGCCCTCCCCACCATATCCCTTCCCCCTCCCAAAAATAAAAAAAACCCCCAAACTTATGGCCTAACCCTCCGGACTATAAGATGGCTCAGGCTCTGCGCGCATCTCGCCAGAGCGCCGACGACGTGGCGGCTGGCTTCTATGTATTCCGAGAGCCTCTTCCAGAACATGTGGGCGATATCACCTCGCTCATGTCCGAGTTATACGCAATCAGCTCAGCCTTGTCCACCTTGGAGCATCTAGCTGAAGATCCACGAAAACGCCGTTATTTTGAGTTGATCAAGCCCGATTTGAATGTGGTGCAAGCCAGCTTCGCATATACCATCGAGGATATCGGCGATATTTTCCGAGGTCTCGATGGCGCTGATGCTAGCCCAGCAAGATACAAGCGCATATGGGTAATTTTGAGCCGGTTCTTTTGGGATCAATCAAATTACACCCTGGCCACCCGCCTAGCCAAGTATAAGACCGTCTTTAAAGAGTTCATTGACTTGGTAAGAAAGTAGGTGCTCCGCAAAGACGCCCAGTAGAAAAAGCGCATGCGTATGCTTATTTCATGTTATTAGTGATCACTACACCTCCTCGCTCCTCGTGGGTCTCGTCAATGGCTTCAAGACTCTGCTCTCGATTCAAGATAGCCGGTTTGCTGCTCGCTTTGAAGGCATGACACTCCGCCCAGATGACTCGCCTCCCGGCTACCGCGCGAGTACCCCGAGCCCGGTGTGGGAGCCTCCAGTTAGGGAGCCTCCGGTGAGGGAGCCTCCGGTTAGGGAGCCTCCGGTTAGGGAACGCCCTCTGTGGGAACGTCCGCAGAGAGAGCGTCCGGTGAGTGACCGGAACACACGACGGCGGAGGTCATACGAGCGCACTCGACCGCCGCATTTGTCTCCGCCGCCGATGTCGCCTTCATCGGCCACTTCTTCGGATTTTCCGCCGTCTGTACCGGATATCCCGCTCTCGCCACTTACTTCTGCATCTGCAACGACGACTACTAGTCACTCGACCAGCCCTGATATTATCAAAGACCACTGGGCTAAGGATACATTCGGGTCTAGTAGTACCAGCACTCCTCTGCCATCTGTGAGAGAAAGGTGAGATATAGATAGCTTGGCTTGCTTTTTGGGATTTTGCTAACATATCTGGCAATAGGTCGTGCTGCTGTGGGGAACCTTATCCAGGCATTAAACAATCAATTAAAGACAAGGGCTTTGAGGAGCTCCTCCAATTGCAAGTCGAGATATCTAACCCTCTTTGAGCATGTGTTCTAACTCAGTATAGATCCCTGAATGACGAGACCGATATGCGCGTGTCCTTCTACCTAAGAAGATCAGACTACCGCGTCCGCATCCTTTGCAAAGAACCCCACCGGACGGGTCCTAGTGACTACTACTGCCTGCCACTTAATTTACTGGAGATCTTACGAGATGGCTCTTGTCTCCGACTATGCAGGCGGCGGAATCGCGGGACAGAGCTTGTTTTATGGACGAAATTGAAGTTCACCACGTTGGAAGGTCAGCAATGCCCATCTGAAGCTCTGCCTTGGCTGGTGAAGTAACAACGCTTACATCTCTCAATTTTACAGATCTGGTGCTATTCCATAACACATTCCTTGCATTGCGCTCTCAGGATGCAGGCCACCCTATCGGAGAAATTCTAGACCACGAGCTGGCACACGAACGGGAACTCTTTGCAGCGTGAGTCTATACCAAGAAGATGAACTAAGTGCCGAATAGCTGACATCCTCTAGCACAATCAGGGAAGATGGATATACACACGCGCTGCGCATATACAAAGATAGGGTGACTGGAGCCATAAGACTCCAGTCATCGGTCCACGAGGGCGAGATGAAACAGTATGTCAAGTATCGATTTTCCGAGCCAAACATTAAATTCTAATAACAATAACCGCAGCACACCTGTCTGGACTGCGTTCGTTACTCACAACCTCGGGAAACGCAGCTGGCTCAAGTCATACGATTCCCGGACGGTGATTGTGCGCGATATCAAACCTGTGATATTTATGTCTATGGATGATTATAACCCCCCCGCAGACATCGCAGGGACATCATGTCGTGGAGTTCGAAAAGCCTCGTGGTAAGTGGTTAGACTGGAACCAGGTCTCGAGTTATTGCTGACTGACTGGACTTTGATCTAGATGCGAGGGATTTCCTGGAAATCCTGGATGAGCTGGGTTGAGCTGGGTTGAGCTAGGGTACGGACTGTGGGACTTGCTTATAATTGGAATCTCTGTTCTGACATGATGAGTGATGAGTTATGTTGATATGACTGTGATGATTCAAGATTTCCACTTTTAGTAATGGTAGCCCTTCTCGTTATTAACGCTCTGTACATATGTAACGACCGTGGACAGACTGATGGACGAGGAGGCCTTGGAAGCGGTCTTAAATGCCCCGGAGGATGATTACAAACGGGATTCATCACAATGTGTAGCTGTTTCAGTTTTCACTGGGATATGTATTATTCTCGTTGCCCCAAGATTGAGAAGCATATACATGTATATGGAAATTAACCTTCTACACTTTAAGTCCTCTATTACCATCTATGTTATACAATGAGCTTGACATATCGAGCTAAAATACTCTATTTTTGGATATGCTCGGACACCTTAAAATACACCTACAGACGGATAGACTAAGCTCAATAAAGCTCCCTTTTTGGAAGTAAAAGTGCAACATAACTAATGAGGGGGTATCACACATACAAAAGAAAACGCAAAGAAGGCAGAAAGCAAGTTGTCAATCAAAGCGCGTGCAGATGCAATGAAAAGGTGATGAGACGTCACTTGGCTACCGCGAAACACTAGGGAAAATAGCCTAGGAAGGTTTCCTCCTTTTCCTCCTTTGCAGTGTCCTTGTCCTTTGCAGAGTCAGCAATATCGTATGGAGGATAAACCATGGCGATATATCGTCGCGCCAGTGGGCATGTAGTCCAGTCATATGGAGGGTCGGTCTCAGGATACAACCATTTCGTGGGGGGTGGTTTAGGTGGAGGTGTCTCTTTTGGCTTAGGGTTGCGTTCAGCTTCAAGGTCCTCTAGGCGCCATTTCTCCTTGTTCTCGTCGTAGATTCTCTGGATTTCTTTGCGTCGCCACTCTATGTGAGCATTGCGCTCAGCCATCCGCTCCTCGTCAGTTTTCCGCTTGAGTATAGTCTCCTCTCGCAGAATTCGGAGTTCTTCCATCTGCTGCTTGCGCTCCTCCTCGTCTGTGGAAAAGTTATAGAATCCAGTTCCACGGTTGCGAACCTCTGTCTCGGCATTGTAATGCTTATTCTCTGGCGGGGTAGGCGAGCGGTCACGACGAGCAGCGAGATTGGACATATGCGTCGCGATTTTGGCATCGGGATTGAAGGCTTCCGTCTGAATGGTCTCTCCGTAGATTAAGTTGTCGGGACGAGCAGGGCGCCAGCGTTCCCGGGCAGCTCGGGCACCTGCTTCTTCATCCTTGGCGCGAGAAGCTTCGGCGGCTTCGCGGCGAGTGCCACGGCGAGAACGGCCAAATTCGTCTTCGTAGGAAATAATCGACGCGTTGTCATCGTCGGACTCATCTTGTTTGATCGCCTCCTCGTTTGCGTGCTTGAGATCAAAATCAACCAATACGTCTTTCTCCTTGCGTCGTAGTCGGGCCAGGTAGGCGTCCGGGTCGGATGGATCGACCGGCATGTCGTCATCATCACTGTCACCGGCGAGATGTAGTCCCTTCTTCATATCCTCGTAAAGGCGCGCTTTTTCTTGCATGCGGCGTTGAGACCGGCCTAGCGTGTTGGCGTCGACTGAGCCAATGTCTTGAGTGCTCCTGTGGACTTGCTTGACGGCCCTGTTGTCATCTGCGAGATCGGCAGCTGCACGCTTCTGAGTGCCTTTATTGTGTTTTGAAAAAATATCTGACTTCGGATTCTTGGAGGGACGGTGGCGCCCACGCGACGGAGCGGAGGCCGCATCTTGGGCGATGAGTGAAGAAAGCTGAGAGGTGAAAGCAAGGTTGGAGGAAGTGGTCTGTTCAGTTTTGATCTTTTTTGAACGGGGTTGCCCGTAGAGGGAGTCCTGATCAGCAGGCATGATGATGTGAATGGCACGGCTTGTGTAATGTCGAGAAGCAACTTCCAAGGTTGCAAGTTTCACGGAAGCTCTACGTCCTACAATGCCACCGGCTTATCGATAAGCCCGGCGGCCAATATACACCGCCAAACCTTGGAAATCATTTTCTGTCACTATTGATGACTAAGGCCGATATTCGGGGCAGCCCCGCGCCCCCACTACTCAGGTGAATCGATCGCGTCGTGACTCAATTGATCATTCTTTTAGTTTTGATCTGATATTGAACCTGTGGTTGAGAACTGGAAAGTGAACTGATCGAAATAATCAAGGAAAATCAGCAAATCAACATCATGTCGGCTAGCCCTATCTTCCTTGGTGTCATTGGTAAGTGTCCCTCACTACTGAGCTCGGAAAGTCCAAATTTAATTGAATACTAATGATTTGATGAACTAGGTGTCGGAGGCGTTGGTACTGCCTTCCTCCAACAGCTTGCTCGTCTCCCCAATGCGCCCCAGCTTGTCGTGCTTGCCCGCTCCTCCCAGACCCTCCTCGCTCCGACCCCCGCCTGTTCGCCGGCCATCCCCGCTGCTGACTGGGCCACAGCTGCTGCTACACCATCTCTGACCAAGAGCGGTGCCCTTCAGGCCGAAGAAATTGCCACATACCTTGCCTCGGCCCCTGGCCGTGCCATTTTGGTCGATAACACTTCCGACATTAGCCTCGCCCGGCAATACCCCACATTCCTCAAGAAGGGCATCTCAGTGGTGACACCCAACAAGAAGGGATTCTCCGATGATCTATCCCTGTGGAAGGATATCTTTGCCTCCGCAGCTGAAGGTAAGGCTCTCGTGTACCACGAGAGCACCGTGGGCGCCGGCCTGCCTGTGTTGTCGACCTTGAAGGACCTGGTGGCCACCGGTGACGAGGTTACCCGCATTGAGGGTGTGTTCTCTGGCACTCTGTCTTTCCTCTTCAACACCTTCGCCCCTGCATCAGGCTCTTCTGATGCGCAGTGGAGCGCCGTCGTCGCCCAGGCTAAGGAGCTGGGCTACACCGAGCCTGATCCTCGTGATGACCTGAACGGCATGGACGTTGCACGCAAGCTGACCATCCTGGCCCGTATCGCTGGTCTGGAGGTTACCAGCCCCGACTCCTTCCCTATTGAGTCGTTGATCCCCGCTGAGCTCGCATCTTTGCCTTCATCTGCGGACGGCATTACTCAGTTCATGACCCGTCTTCCTGAGTTTGACGCTCAGATGGCCAATGTCAAGAACACTGCCGAGAAGCAGGGCAAGGTTGTGCGCTACGTTGGTAGCATTGATGTTGCTGCCAAGGCTGTCAAGGTCGGTCTGCAGTACTTCGATAAGGACAGCGCTATCGCTGGTCTGAAGGGGAGTGACAACATCATCAGCTTCTACACCAAGCGCTACGGTGCCAACCCTCTGATTGTCCAGGGTGCCGGTGCCGGTGGTGACGTTACCGCCATGGGTGTTTCGGCCGATCTCATCAAGGTTGTCGAGCGCCTGCGCTAAATTGCTCAGTCCTTGGAAGTGTAAAAAGATAAACCATGACCCCCAAAATTTGACAATGCATATAAAGAAACGCGTCCTTATATCCAATCCTTGTGTCATATCTACTATATATTTCATGGATCTTGTAAAGAACCCAACCCTATTTAGTAGTCCCGTCCCTTAGGAAGTCCTTCAATGCTTCTCCCCATACATCTCCCTTCTTATAAGTATGCATTTCTGGCACATTCCCCTTCTTCAGGCCCTCGATGGCATTCGCAAGATCCTCACCAGAACCCTCATCCTTAATTTGCCTAACCGGATAAACATAAGTGTGGATGGTAAAGACAAGAGCCTTAGACACCGGCAGCCGATGCAATGTCTGACGCTCACACCGGAGAAGAGTCTTTAGTGGTATCAGCGCCATTCCATCAAACTAACTTGCCCACAGCCAACATACCTGATCAACATTCAATTTTCCAAGCTCAATAGCCTCCTCTGTTTTCCCCGGCACAGCATGTGTTCCACCAAAAGCAGCAAACAAGCCCGTGTCAATAGTAATACTCCAATTGACCCGTTTCACAAACTTCCCAACCTCGATGCGCGCAAAAAATTTGTCCATGCTGCGCTCAATTTTCTCCTGGTAACGCGGGACTGGCCCATGAATATCTACCAAACGCAACCCGAGTTTCTTGCGCGTATTGAAACCAGACGGGAAACAGGTCGCATATGCTTGTAGTACATATCTCGGCTGTTCATCGCTATCGGGTGAGAGCTCAGGGAGCAGGATCAGGAAATCCTCGTCTACTGTCTGCGCGAGGATTTCCAGGGCTTGGATTGCTGGTGTCGTTGGCGACAGGTTTGTTGGCCAGGTTGCGCCTGTTACCAGGTTTTGGAAGAGCGTGCTTTCGGCGTTTAGCTGGAACATGCTCGGGTATCGGGTTGGCAGGTATGTTCCCAGCACGAAATTGTATAGTTCCCCAATGGCGGGCCGGATACGAGCGTCTTCCTCTGGGGTTTGGTAGTTGTTGATTGCCACTACGATGTCGTGGTGCTGGTCGAGTATGGACTTGCGGAGAGCGAGTCTGTTCTTGTATGTTTTGTCCATCGGGATGAGGTCTGATGGATCGAGGTTCTCAAGTGCTATAATAGATTAGTCTAGGTAAGTGTCGAGTTTTGTGGTATATAATATAGCACATCTGTATGAGAGCAGACCAAGGGGACTCACCCATGGTCAAATTATATTTGTTTTTTCCTTTGAATGGCCGAAATTGTAAAGGCTCGGTCTCTTCCCAATTAAATCCCTCTAGAGGCGTGATGGGGGATTTCTTATTGTCCGAGCAAGTTGCCGTCTTTCTCACGTATGCATTGGCCTTGCGAGGTTGTCGAACCCTCCAGATGGCAACACACAAACCCACGATAAGAATGCAGAGCAGGAGTCTGGAGAATATGGGCCATGATGCATCAATGTCTAGCTTGTGTCGAATGCCTGCCATCCTCAAATCACTGTGCAGTGGATAACTATGGGTTGAAGTCTATGATTCTTCTTGCCCATCGGGGAGTTTTATGCTCAGAACAACTACTTACTCCGCATGAGCTCCGCACGAGAAAGCGAACTTATCTTGGAGACTCGTATCGGAGATTATCTCTCTCCACTTTCACTGGCTGAACTGTCCGTGGATGTTTTCCGATTGACTCATAAGGCCGAGATGACCTCGGGACCTGCGGGGTTGGGACTTCAAGATAAGACGGTTGGGGTATTATTAGATTGGCTGCTCAGTACCTAGGACATACTTCATAGCAGCTTATACTCTGGAAGTATCGTACAATCTTCGATTAGTATAAGTCACGTACATGATGTACCTAAGTCTTCTGCATATTGGAAGACATGTAGTGTTGCACGATGAGACCCGAGAGCAATAAAGAAATGTATGCTTGCTCGTACAGTCAAACGACAGAAAGCACAGACGAGAGACAAAATAATAACACAAGATCATAAACATCATCACTCCAAGGGGACCGGTCATCATATCTGCCCTGAGCTCCTTTGTTTCAAGGTCCCATCCCCACTCAAATGTGGATTCAATGCTTGGACAACAGGGCTCAAATTCTCCTTGCCAGAATCCTGATCTCTCTCCCTCTTAACTCGTAGAGAATCATCTGGGCTGCCCCCTTCGCTATCGCCGGTATCTGTCTCCACGCCGCGCAGTCCAAATGCCCTCCGTTGCCCGCCCGGACGTTCATTCAAGCTCGGCGCGCGAGGGCGCTGTCGACCACGTGCTCTTCCGCCAATCCACGGGATCTCCCAAAGAATCAGACGATATATCCAGATTGTTGCATCTAGGAGTATGAGGAAAGCCCAGGGGCCAATGGTGATGAGACCGAGGAGGAACTGCGGAATCCGGGGCAGATCAGCGACTGCGTCATCGGGAAGGGGGCTAAGAACCAAGATCGGAGAAAAGAAGGGAAACTCACGAAGATGCGAGCTGCCCAGCTCTCAAGATGGGTAAGCTCTGACGGAAGGATGGAGTACCACGCCATTGTGGTGTGGATTTGGAGAACTGATGAACCTCGGGAGGTTACGGTTGCTGGTGGGTTGGAGCTGTGTCAGTGCTTTGGCGCGCTGCGACTCCGTCCACCCTTGCTTGACAGCTCCCCTTTCACAGCTGCTTCATTTTCTGAGCCCAGTTCGGCATTTCAGATTCTCGGTTCGCTTCGCAAATGAAATGTAGAGAATCAAACTGCACTGGCTCAACTTGGATTCTACGATCAAGGCACTTCGATCTGATTGGCTGGACCCTGAATACCGTGGACACGTGAGGTGTATGGCCTGACAGTCCAGGTGTCTATTCACCTCGTCACCATTCTTAACATCTTCCACTCCTTTTTTTAGTACATTAACTAACTCAATTTAAGTTGACGTTAGCTCACAGAAAGCAGTCGAGAAAGTCTGCCTGGATACTATGATTTTCCCGGGCGATGGCCCACTCGGTATCCCACTGTTCTTCCACCACTCTATTTTACTGCCCCATAGGACTAATGGTGAACCTCTTGAAGAGAGTGACTATTCTTCGATAGCGTCGAAGCTTTGGACACCCCCAGATGAGGACTCGGTACTAGTAAAGACCTTATCATCAAGGGTGTCGAGGTTACGTCTGAGGAAGTCAACTATATGCTCTTATGACATGAAACTGTTGATTGCATAGGACTATACCGTATGGAAGATAGGGCTTGTAGCCTGCTTGGCCTTCCTTGGTATCCAATATGGAAGTATCGTGCTGACAAAAGAGGATAAGAGCCCTGGAGGTCCACGGGTCGCACTATAGATTAGACAACGCGGGGTCTAAAAACGTACTAGCCATTTTATGTTGATGCATACAAAATGACCACTACTACTATTACTTTATAGTCTCCTATACATTTGCCCACATACGTATACGAAGCAAAACTGCTCTCCACCCGCCCTTGAATATCCTATCAAACCATGAAAATCTTAATGGTCCACGGTATCTGACACCAAATTCACGCAGTCACCAAATCTAACCATTATAGGATCCCGCCAATCGGGAGCACTCTTCCGAGCAAAACTCCAGGCCCTAGAAAAACTAATCCACCAAGCCATTGGCCCTATCCATCCCGACGGAGTAGAATTTGTATATCCAACAGCTCCCTTCAAGCTAGAGCCGTCCTCCAATAGCCCGTCCGAACTGCGCAATCGACACGGAGCATGGAACTGGTTCGAAACCGAATCCATCGACGGTCCTTACCCGGGGCTAGAAGGCGGCCTGGAGTCTATTGCTTCTATTCTCAAGGATTCCGGACCGTTCGATGGAATCGTCGGCTTTAGCCAGGGTGCTGCTGCCGCTGCTATGGCCGCCTCACTCCTGGAAGAGAATCGAAAAGATGCATTTTGCCGATTGGAAGAGGAGGATGGGATCCCGTATCCCGCTTGCTTCGCGACCCTTGAACACCCGCCGCTCAAGTTCGTGGTTAGCATCTCGGGTTATGTTGCCTCTCATTTGGCTTATCGTGCTTTCTACGATCCTGCTATTCGGACGCCAGTGCTGCATTTTCTCGGGAGTATGGATACCGTCGTTGATGAGAGTGCGTCGATTGGGTTGGTACAATGCTGTCAGGAGTTGGGGGAGGTAAAGGAACAGATGGTTATCAGGCACTCGGGTGGACATGTGTTTCCGAGTGGAAAGAGAGAACTCGCTGCCGTTGCACTTTTCGTCAAGTCCAGCGTGAGCTGAGAAAACATGGTTCGAAATTTATTTAGTGCCTTGATATCTGCTCTCATCCCAGATATGGCGCTGGGCGGATTACCATTCGACAGTTGTGTGTAATTTGGTTGGAGAACGCTTGCTGGGACTATGTAATTGGACCTGGACCTTCTAAGGATGTGTTGAATTAAGGAACTGGGATTGGAATAAGTTTAATATTTTGTATTACAACATTTAATTTATCCAATTCATGTGTACATGGTGGTGTCCATATGCCGCTTGAGCAGACAAAAAGATTTTTTTAAATCGTGACCTTCGTGTTTAGAAATGACGCTGAGTTCCCCCCGAGATGTTGCTAAGATAGAATACAAAAAAATCCGACAAATGCAGATGTTTGGCCCAGAAGGCCGGATATTCACAAATCACAGCTTACCGCTGTGGACGGTAAGCATCGTACGAGGTGTACGGGGGCTCGTCGTCCTGACCGACAGGTCCATAACCACGCCAGCGAGCGAGCGGATTCGTGATATCCGTCTGCGCGGGAACCTGCGCATGGCTGAGTAATCTCGATTCAGCCTCGTCTGTGTTTGAGTATGGTCCTGGTGCCGAGGTGCCACTGTCGCCCCGCGAGAGCGGCACACGGAAGGCCGGGTGGACCAGTCCTGTTGGGTCCTGGTGTTCGTAACCGTTGTGCATGTGCAGCGGCGGGATCGATGGCAGTGAGGGTGCCGGTGATGAGGCACGAGATGAGCTGGGAGACCACTCGCCTCTCAGAGTACTGCGGGGTGTGCGAGCGCTCTGTCATCAGGTCCTCGGGCCGGCCGTAGATACCGCCTCCGAACTCGTCGCGGAAGTCTGCGCGATCCTTGTAGTACGAGAAATCGAGGTGGTTCTCCGGGACGACCTCGAATGGCGCAGGTTCGGCAGACTTGCCAGGCTGGGATGCGAGCATCGGGTTCATTGCGATGTCTGAGTACTCGCCGCTCATTTCTCCCTGGTCCAGACGACCTTGGTAGATGTCCTTTAGGGCCTCGGCTGCCTTGGCGTGCACCATAGGTGTCAAAAGTGGTTTGTAAAGGGCAGGGTGTCCGAACTTGGAGTTCAGACGGTCTGACGCCTTCTTGTCGGAAGTGCTCGCGCCCAAGGCCTCGGCATCGGTTAGGTTTGCACGATTGTAGAACTCGATATCGGAGTCAAACGTCTTCATGCAATAGATCTTGAACCCGATCATCAAGAAAGGCAGGGGTATCACGCAGAACACCATGTTCCACGTGCCGCTCGACTTAGCAACGAGAGCGATGATCACATTGGCAAGAATAGTAGCAAATACCAGGCGATTGAATAAAACTCGCCAAAACGCACCACCAGACTCATTCTTAGTCACGAACACGTACATCAATAGATACTTCTTCAACATGGCATCCACACCAAAATACAATGCCGTCACCGGCAATACAATGGGTTGCAAGGTAGCGAAACAGAAAGCCACGGTGGCATAGAAGAGGAAGTAGTTGTAGTAACTGGCGTAGTCGAATGGCGGCGGTGCGGTCCACTCAATTGCCTGTCGGGGTGTGGGTGAGAGGAACGTCTTGGCGAACCAGACCCAAGCCATGGTAACCAGCTGCACAAGATCAATAGCAGCGCCGAGATTACGCTGCAAAAGATAGGTCACCCAAAACGGTGACACGGTGCATAAAGCGCTTACCAACTTGGCGTACATCCGGCTTTCCAAGATGGCTTGCCAGGCGTCTTCGTGGTGGTTGGTTTTGTCAACCACAAACGATACGAAGTACCAAGCAGCCGAGAAGAGAGAAAAGACGATCAGATTGTTGAAAACGAAGAACGCATACAGATGCCCCAGCACGTGGCGCTCTCGGGATGTTTTAGTCTTGCTGCCACCTTTAATCGAAAGTCGACGGAAGATGATCGGAAGTGCCAGATACACGAGCGAAGTCAGTGCGGGCGACGCAATACCCTGGACAGCAGCCCAAACGTTTGGGTTCCCTGACAACGAGGTCTGGAACGCCGGCCATACCAAACCCAGATTTGACAGGTTTGACAAGAAAATGGCAATCAGACCGTTAGGAACAATCCACACAATAGTCAAGCATGTCACCCAGATAAAATTGACCAGTCGCTTCCACTTACGTGCTGACTTGGTGAGTGGTAGGTTTTCCCAGATGATATCGCTGGGCCGCGGGGCAAGGGCAATAGTGGTACCCTCAGGGTGCTTGCGGCGAGCGTTCCATGCCACAGCATGAGCGTGCTCGATATTGTCCCAGCTGGCAAAGCCGTAAGGCATGGCGTTTCGGCGATCAATCGAGGCCCGTCCATGCTTGATTTCCTCTTCCAAGACGCGAATCCGGACGGACAGATAATCAATCGCGTCCACTTTGCCGCCGGGGTATTGGTTGCGATGTTGACGAGGGGGGCGTAACGTAGGTCTCTTTGCAGGCAATCGGTCCGGGTTCTTGAGGTACTTGGCCAAAACAGATTCCAGTTCTCGGACCACCTCTTCATGTTCTTTGATGATCCGGGGCAAATCCCTGACATTTCGGCCAATCGCAGCTCGTGGGAGGGCCGCGGTAGGGTTAACCTGGTCGGTGAGTCGCAGGATACCTTCGTCGGTGCGGCCATTGGGAGGGATGTCCGTGATCATCAAGGTTCGGGCATGCAGACTGCGTTGGTATTCAGAGCTTTGAAAATATTGCCTCCGCAGGTTCCGTACAACGCGATAGTTCCTCCACAAAAAGTAAACAATAATGAGATCAAAAGCCCAGGCGCATACAACCTGACTCCAAATAGCCGTGGGATTGGTGATGTTGAGGGGCGTCATCAAGTTGAAGGCAGAAGACGCCGATTTATCACTAGGACTCTGGCTCTGTGTGACATTGACCGGTATCATGACAAGGCAGCCTATGATGCTGAGAAAGATGAAGATGTTGCGGCACATTTTTGTAAAGCGAAGAAAGATTGCGGCATCCAGGCCGACTGTCTCAATCAACTGCGCTTCCCGTGTATTGATCACCGGTTTGACCCAGGCGAAGAAGCCCTTGCCCACCGGGGGCGGAGTGTGTTTGAGGTCCGCATGCTTGACTTTGGGCGCATAGACAAGCGAATGACGAGGTCGGACAAGGGAGAAGAGGAGGGCGAGGAGGACAGTGACGCCGATCGAGGTGCCTAGCGAGGCCCAAATAGCAGTAACTGTAAACTGAAGGTTGTCAGTGTGTTGTTCTCTCTGCCAAGACAAATCAAGCTTACTGCAGAGCGAAATGGATTCGCGATAAGCTGGAGGAAAGTATCCGTTGGATCTGCGCGGGCATGCAAACTCAAATGATGTAGATCCATTACGTTAAAGCAGAAACGAGTGATCCGGCATGAACGAGGGGCCGGAGGGAATCAAGAGCCCAGCATGAAGGTGAAAGAGAATAGATTGAAGAGGGAATGGGTTCTAAAAAGATGGGAAAAAAAGGCGAGCAGAGGTGAGACAAAAGATAATAATGCACGAATGAAAGGAAAAAAGGTGGACTCCGTTCTAGACTAGATTGGTTATTATTAGAAGTTGGGTCAATGGGGTTATTGGCCTCTTGGCTGGCTTAGCGTCCGTTGATCAGCGCCGTTAGGGAAAAACGGAGCCAGCCACTTTTCTGCAGAGATTGTGAAGCCCTATGTTGTATACGGAGTACTCCGTACAATTCGATGTTCCCACGGCTCTGGAAATCAGATTTCGCGTCGACATAAGGCGTTCCCCTGTGGCACCCTGACACGTTTCAAATGTTGACCCATCGACTGTTGTATCATTGGCAGTCCAGCAGCCTGTGTCGAGTGGCACACCAATCAGTTGGCCAAAGTAGAGAAAGTCTGGAACATTCCAAGGTTGCGATTGTTTCCAAGGTAGGACTGAGCCCAGTCATGTAGGTACGTTATGCCAGGTACGTTGTGCCACTTCCAAGGTTGTAGGTTGTGGGTTTCGAGATGTTCTCCAAAAGTTTGAGGGGTTTGTCTCTGGTTTGTTGCCTGAGGCCATCATTATAGCCTGGATACATCCATGCTTCATATTTATTCATCCTTTGAGATTTGATCCAACTACAAGATATATGAATGGCCAGCCATGAAAATTTAACGTAGCCTCTTAAGATCAATTTAACAGCTGTGGTTCACCACTTGATTCCTCTTAAACACTCCATGAAGCTTACAAGAATTCTGCTAACAACGATATACCCCCGCTAGAAACCTTCGTGATATATGAAACGCCATCTTTCAAGAATGGTCGATATTTGTTGATCCTTCAAACCATGGTACTGTGATAAAGGCCACGAGACCCCGCACGGCTGAGAATGCTGACGAGTTTCAAGACCCCGTGCATGATGTTTTGCACTTGAAGCTTGAGGTCATATCTGACTTCTTATCCTCGCATTCGCAGGTGGTCGACTGTGACTTGACGGTATGACCGCAGGTATACGATATCATGTTATGACACATATTGTTGGGAGTAGGAGAGTAGCCCTGGAGGTATGACATTAGCTATGCGTAAGACTTTTACTTAGAACAGTGTAATAGGGGAGCCGCCAGACATACTCAAGCTTTCTTGTTGGTATGTTTAAATTGGGCGCAAGAGATCTGAGGATTGAGTCTAGAGGGGGGGGGGGCTTTCTTCCCGTTTATATATTCAATCATATGACAATTCAGAGGGACTGGGAATAAGGAACCTCCCTATATTGGCAGTCATATGCCCGTGTCATTTGGTTTGCGTCGCATTCTGAGTCAGTTATTATTGGATAGAACGGAAGCAGCTGAGCGGGGTGAGCAAGGATCGCGGGGCTTCATATCACAAACCGAGTCATGACAGCGCATACTCAAGGTTCCTACAGGGATAAAGTCTCGTATAGCAAGTCAGGTAAGAAGGTAAGAGTCCCGATTTCGATTCACGCATTCCGCCCTAATCATGGGTCTAGCACCGAGCACCCAATAATACCAGAACGAGCACCCACCATCTCCGGTCTATGGCCGACGGCCTACGCACTGCCGCA